GAAGAAGGGGCAGACCTGGAAGCCGCCCCGCCGCGCCACGAAGCTGCGGGGGCAAAGAGGACACCGTGAGGGAGCACACCCCGACCACCACCTCCACTAGCCGGCCCCGGCCCCTGCCACCACATTGGTACCGGCAGCGGCATCGCCCGGCTCCCGCAAGCTCTCATCCCCACCCCAGTGCTCCGTGACCACTTTGTGCTCACTCTGAAACACAGCAGCCACCGGAGCTAGCAGCAGTGAGCCATTGTTAGGTTTCAGAGTTAACGTGCCTGCCAACAGAGGCTGGTCACTCCTGTGCCTGCCCTACTGTCTAAGCAAAAGGGCAACCTTTTCCACGAGCACACTGGGAAGTCATTTTAAGATGGGACAGCTAAATGGCAGCCAAGTCACACAGCCGAGGCCCCAGCACACCACCAAACCGCAGCCCCTGCCGAGTCCTCCCGAGCTGCAGAGCCCGTGCTGGGCCATGTACTCACTGCCTGCAGTAAGTTTTCTGCACGAGAAGAGGGTCCTGCTGCCAACGAGGAGAGTTAAGAGCCCGCCTGCTTCCCTTTTGGAATACTGCAAACATTCAGTACCAAAATGTATTGCAACTCCAGCAAATCTATTCACGCTAATTAACAACATATTTCTAACGGGCCCATCGACACCATAGCAAAACCAAATCATAACAATTATGGCATTTCAGTTCTGCCTGAGAGATCTGTCCTGTCCTTCATGCCTGCCTCAGGGAGGAGCGTCTCTGAGAGCTGCCTGCAGGAACACATCCTGGCACCGATCCCTACCGATGTCAGGAAAGCAAAGTCCTATCCTGATCCCTAAAAACCAGAAGACCTGGAGAAATGCGGGGTGTCCTCTGGCTGCTGAGCCTGCAGGCTTCACTCTCAGGCTCTGCCCTTATTCAAGCAGCGGTAGACAGAAGAGTTGGGGCAGCTCAGCCAAGAGGGCTGCCCACATCCAAAACAGAAATCTGTGATTTGCGATTACCTAGAGGTGGATTAGAAGTGACAAGGAAGCTATCCCTGTCCCTGTGTATCATCCCCACACTATTTCTAAAAGCAAACAGGAGCAAGACAGGAAGGCACTTAGCCTGAATATATTTTGCCTACAACAGTAAAAGCTTCATTTGTTTTAAATCAAGGTAGGTAGTTAAAAACTTCAGCTTTACCTATATTTACATCCTAACAAATACTTTCTCAGAGTTTGACTGCAGGTGTAAAAGGAGGAAAGTTAAGAAACTCAAATAAAGCTGTAAACTCTCAAAGAAATCAAAGCATGTTAAACTCCATAGGGAGGCCCTTATTCAGGTGCAAAATGGCCTCAGCTTGCTGTACGAAGTAATCCCTTTGCACATCAGGCTTCACAGCCCCTGCAGTGCTGGCTCCAGTGCCCATGGGTCACTGTCCCAGAATTTAATGCCACTGCAACTGAGGGACATGGTGCTCCACCATGGCAAAAAGGCAGTGAGAGGAGGAGAGTTGGGTCAATGGTTAATAATGCTGCAGTGTTCAGACCTTAAGAGCACATTTTAACTGGATTTGTGTATCAGCTTTACCTACCCATTGCCCTGATACAAAGATTAGTCACATTTCTTTCATTAACTCTGGAGAAGAACGACAATTTCAAGTTTAGCTGTCCCCAAACTCCTAAGTACTGGTAAAGAGAGTTACTGATAAGGCTAGAAGTTGGGCTTCATTTGGTTGTATTCAAAGTCCAGGCTTTTACCTTACACATCATTTATGTGGGGAAAAAAATCATGAAGGTTTATGCAGTGAAAGTCCTAGGAGAAATAGAAAAGACTTTCTCCCCTGCCTTTCTATCATGTCACATCTGGGTCAGGGACTCAGCCTGCTGGCTAGGACAATGCTAAAGGCCAAGGAAGAAGCACAGGGAACAGTGAGGAGCTAGAAAGCCAGATTACACAGAAACATACACAAAACAAAATGGAAGATCTCTGGTGACCAAGCCCAGAGCAATGCAGATAATGATTCCCATACGGGGAAGCGATTCTCTGAAGAGAGAGAAGTCATCCATGCAACATGTGATAAGCTTTTCTTTCACCTTCTTCTGCAAGTCTTTTTGGAAAAGCATAAACAAACCCACTATCAGCTTTGCTGATGTCCTTACATGGCAATCCTGACCACTGAAAGAACACAGTCATTTTTTTGGAGATGTTTTGCAATTATTACAGGATTTCCCCCCCCAAAAGTCCATCTTCTGTAGCAAGACAGAAAGCTTTTTTTCTGTGCAGGTATTCTTCTGAGCACCACGGCTACATACTCTCCTGGGAGCAGGGGAAGCTCTCGCCCCAGCACTCAGCTGGTGCCGAGGAAGGTGGCAGTAGCAGCTGCGTGCTGAGCACCGGGGTGCTGGGGCACACAGAAGGCGGTGTTAAGACAGTATCCCCTCCTCACGCGGTGAAAGAAGTGGTTCTTGTGCATTTCAATGGCAAATTCTGCCACTTTCTTGCCAAACAGCTTGAGAACAACTCTGTTGGCATCAGTACTTCAGTGGTTACGGTCTGTGATCAAAATAGGGCATCTTGGAGCTCATGGGGCTTTGACATCTGCACTGACAGACACCCGTGCCCCCCTCCTAACCACTTAATAATGCCTACATACAGAGCCTGGGTATTCTTTACATAAAATGTAACACGGTCTATGAACCTGAAGTGATACAGAGAAAACCTGTGGAAAAAATAAGCTGCAGGTATGAAAGTCAATCTGGTTTTAGTATGTGCTTCAGATGCACCTTATGGGGCATTTCACTCCACAACTACTAGCTTTACTTTGGAGTATTTCCAAAATCCTAGTGAGCTCTTACATCCTCATGGAGTTACAGTAAAAGATCCAGCTTTCATAAAAAACAAAGTTACTAACTCCAGCTACAACTTGCAAAGGTAATCCTGTAAACGTACATGTACATGTTGGCTGTAAATGCTGGCAGGAGAACTTTGAAACAGCTCTGAGAAGAGTGAATTGAACTGTTGATCTTGGTCAGCCTCTCTGGCCTCCAGGACTCCCAGTCTGTGAAATCTGGTTAAAAATCAGGATGTCATGGAGCAGAGCATTTTTGCCCAAGTTTACCATTTGCTGCTGACAACAGCACAACATTTTGGTCTCGTTGTCTCACTGCCCGGCTCAGGACCTGTCAGCAGTGGCCTTTCTTGCCAGCCTTCCCTGGAAGAGGCAACCTTACAAGATTGCAGCCCAGCTCTATGCACTGCTCCTCGCAGACAGGCAGCATACAATCACGCAGCCAGAGGAGCCTTGATTCCAAGTGGGAAAGCAGTGAAGGCGGGAGGCAGGAGTCGGCACGGCTGAGCTGGGCTGCCTGGCACCCACCGTGGGAAAGGAGAGCAGCACCGCTGGGTGGATGTGCCAGTCTGCCAGTTGCCCTCAGCTGTGGGGCATGCCCCAGCCAAATTGCTTCCAGAGAGAAGGCTGGGGCAGCAAAGCCACGCTGCACCAACAGCATGAAAGAAAAAAAAAAAAAAAAAAAGGTTCTTCAGAATAATCATTGTTAAAAATATCTATCGTCAGTATTTATCATCACACATTTTATTCTTCAAGCCATGTTGCATGCTTGGGCAGAGGTGAATTGGGTAGGATTAAAAGCATAATCATTTAATGAGCCCAGTACTTGATTTTATGTTTTGCTGTCATGTGTTCCAGTCCAGTGGCTGTGGAGTCAAGAGTACCTGCAGTGCTGCTCCTCTTTTGCTGACAGCAAAGCCAGGCAAAGCATCTAGTATCCAGATGGACTGGCAGCAGCTGAGCTGGTAAAGGAACATCACCGAGGGCCAGGCTGTCCCCCTAAACACATAGGCAGAGCCTCTCGTACGGTGGTATCATGCTTCCAGGAGTAGACAGAGACAGGAGAGTTGGGTGTCAGTTCCCTCCTGGGCATCCTCTTCCCATGTTGCCAGACAACAGCTAATTCTCCAAAAGGAGGGATGAGTGTGGAGACATGCATTGCTGTCCTGCCAGCAGCCCAACAGGGGAATTGCCACAAAGCAGCAACAGGCAGGACTGACTCTCTACAAAGCACTCCCTGACACTCTGAAGCCTCCCCTGAAAGGAGTTCTTGGGCGAATGGGATAAATCCCTCCTGCTAAGAAGCTGAAAAGCAGGTTGAAAGAATTTCCTTAGGGGGCTGGCCCAGTGCAGATAACCTCCAGGAGTGTCTATGGGATAACAGGCATCCCAGCTCCAGAGGAAAAAAACATCCATTCAGTCTTAGGACTGCAACTCCCTTTTTTTTTTTTTTTTTTTTTTTTTTTTTGTGGGATAAAACCCCCAAACACCTCAAAATCTGCATTTTCTTTTCTTTTTACCAAACGTCACTTTTTGCTCAAGGCAGGTCTGGTCCAGTATTCCAAGCCCTCAGCAAAGAAAGAAAGTGAAACAAATCCCATTTTCAGCACTGACAGCAACTGCCTCTCTGTGCTCTTGGTGGCACAAGGGAAGAATTCACTGATGGCACCGACTGCTTCGCTCCCCAGGCTGAACATCCTGGTGAACTGATTGCCAGCTAGGGATGCTTCCCCCACGGTGCCAGGTTCTCTCCCCAGGGATGAAACTTTACCAGCAGTGGTCTTGCAGAGCAGCATGACATAAATGGCTGAAGTTGCTAAACAAATCTATCTTATACTTCTGGGCAGTGAACATGTTTGGGAAACATTGAAAGCAGTAACAGACCTACAATAATTGTTTTCTTACTTAGGGATCTGTATCAATGCATCTTTTTTTTTTTCTTAATTAGAAGTAATCACGTTTTTCTTAGATATATTGTTAGCAAAATGATGACTGAATGGCATGTTTTCTTTTTTTTTTAAATTCTTGAAAACAGCATCAGCCTAAAGTAGGTTTGCTCGTGATAAAAATATTAATTTTGAAGAGTACCATATTATCTAATTTAAGAAATTACAAAATTCTAGTGGGAAAATATTAAAGTATTTTTCTCTTAAGTAGTAATCGTAGATTGAGGGAATGCACAAGTTCAGGGATTCCCTATAATGACAATAAATGTTGAGGTATAATTAGTAATATTTTTGAAAGCCAACAATTGTTTTTTGAAAGAAAGGTACATTTTAGTTTCAAACTGGAACACAAATTACTGTATTTTTCTTACAATAGTGCTGAACTTTTATTTGAGGTTCTCTGTTTCTGAAAGCAGACATGATGGATTGAAATAAAAGATAATTTATTGCAATGCTTACTTTCATGTGCAGAGAGAAGCAGTGTAATTGTAATTTACACTAGCTGTCAAGGAAAATCTATCACAGATGACATTAAAATGACTTATTTTGCCTGAGCCACTTATTGTTTAAATGTGCATAATCTGATAGAAACAGATTTTTTTAAAAATCTGCTTTATATTGTTCTAAATTAATATCAAAACATATACTTATGAGTTAAACATTTTAAACCATTTATTAATACTTTCATCACTACTATATTTTCCTAGGAGTTGGAAATTGGTTTATTTAACAATATCACGTTTATGCTTTTTAGCTCTCTACACTCACAACACTTCCACGTACCTAAACTCACTATCTAAAAAATAGATTTCAAACTAGATTTGTTTCTATCTGAAAGAAAAATGTCAGAAATGGTAGAAGAAAATGGAACATAGGGCCCAACTCTGTTTCCAGTGGGGCTGACCAACAGTTTTGCTACCACCTTCAATAAGAACAGGTTAGTAAAGATTCAAATTTTTCTAAGCAAAGTAACTCATGAATCCATGCAATCTCTTAATGGCAACTTGTAGCTGATGGCAGAAGGAAATGCTATCCATGAAATAACAAAGATTGTATTAGAATACTGAATGTAAACTTACCTCTGCGATATAATTATTCCCAAACCTACCATAGAAAGGAAATATTCTGACTATTTGTGCCTAAGATACATTCTGCATATCACTTGAGCACCTTTATAGAAATACTGATGAAAGAAGCCTAGACACATTTCCATTCTGATGGGCCTAAATGTTTTCAGCTTGCAGGTGCTTGTTCTCAGGTATTTATGATATCTAACTCTCCTGAAACTTAAGATTTTGATGTATGTATTATACATGTCTGTTTGAATGCAAATGTCAAATGACGAATAACCAAAACCAAACAGCTTCGCCAAACCAAGGCAATCTTTCAGCAGAGGCAGCATTAAAGTAGTTCTAAACAAATCAGCACATTTAAATTGTCTACATGAAAAAATCTTGAGAAATAAAGTTAATGACCTGCTATTTCATATGCAGTTTTGAACAGCTACTAGCTTTGATTAAGCTGCTTTTCAAAGGGGGCGCTGATATATATTTACACTTTGAAAGTAAACTGACCTCCATACCAACACAGCAAAAATCCAATGTCACATTCAATTCTGTTCTTTTTCTTTCTTTTCTTTTCTTTTTTTCTTTTTTTAATACAGCTAGAATTAATGTAGTGAATCTGTAATGAAATGCATTATCCTGCATGGAGATTTATCAGATTTTCCAATTGAATGCCATGCTTTGCTAGCACTAGCTGGAGTTCACCTGCATGTTGGTGTGGCGTGTGGCTCTTTTTTGTAAAGAGTTAAGTTGAACACAAAAAAAGGGAACAAAGGTCAGCACCCAGCCGCCACTTGAATGTGAGATTTTTCTTTTTATTCCCCTTGATGTATACTAGGCTCTGTGTTATTAGTCTTAATGATGGAAAATTGTAGTGTTGATACAAATCTTTTTTTCAAAGTAGTAGGCGGGAGCTCCATTTGTTAGTAAGTTTTTTTGTGACTAAAAGCCACGGACAGTACATTTATGTAGCAGTAAAAGGCCTAGATGCTCTTTCCATAGCAGAGCTAATTATTCCTACTGTGACCTTACTGATCTACCCTGTTCCTAGTACATCTCATCTGCACGCCTGTTCCTCTGTGTAGATGGTGTCAGAGAATATGAAAAACCCTATAATGAAACCATTTTCATGATGGAGAAAGGCTACTGGAGTTGCACTTGCTACAAAGAGGCTCAATTATATGAGTAATTGTGATAATTTTCTACATTCATAGCCTTCAATGGGGAAAAAAGAATGAGAGCCACAAAGGAAAATTACTTTAACAAGAAAGTACAGAGAGTAAAAATGGAAGAAGAGACAAAAAGGGGGAAAAAAATAACCAGAAAAAAGTTTAAAAAATAGATCTGGAGGGAGGAATAGCAAGACAGGGAGAACAACAGAAATGCTCAAAAAGCCTATGTGCAGCTGTGTTGCACAATTAAATTGAATTTTTTTTCTGCAGTTGATGAATGTGACTACTGCAAATGTGCCTCTGTAGTTAGCTATCATTTGTTGTTCCGTGACAGGAAAAGGATAATTACCTCTCAGAGAGAATCAAAGGCTGACATGCCCTTTAGACACAGCCATGAATGCAGAGCTCGATAGAATGCTTGAATAAGAATCCAGTGTTCTGTGCCCCCTTCTACTCAAGAATAAATTTTGTTAAAATGCAAGAGCACCACCAGTAAATTTGTTGAACCCTAGGTGTTCAAAAATATGAGGTGCATCTATCGACTCATCCCATTTGCAAAAATAAAACTACATTTTGAATTCACTTCTATTATATTCATGGACAGTAAGATAGTGAGATATGCATTAAATTTCTTTTCCCAGTAGGGGTCTGATTCAACATTTCCTATGAAAGAACAGAAAGACACTATCCTTTTTCTCCAGGCTAGTTAGCCTATAATTTAAAACTGTCAAAAACACAATTTTATACAAAGTCTTCAATAAAAGCTTCTCAGATATAACCCAAAGAGGTTTTACTAAAGTTTGATTCAGACTCTGTTACAATATTTTTAAAGCTATAAATACATCTAACTGATATTTTGCTGTTCTCTTTTTTCCTTAAAGTATTTGAAGATTTACAAAGAAAAAAAAAAAGCAACATCCTTTCAAGGTGACTAAGCCTTGCAGCTTTTAAGTAATCAGAATGTATTCAATAGCATGTTGGGACCATTAATAGTCCAGAGAAGTATTGCTTAATGAAATGTATACAATATATGTCTATTTTTTTTTGGCAAACATTTTAAAATAATCCATAGGTACCTTCAAAAAACTAAGCCGTACTTTTATTCAAAATCACCAGCAGAAGAAGAGTCATGACTGCGTTTATGTGAAGGCAAGAAGAGATGCAAAATAGGGAAAAATCTCTGAATGTGAGCTCTTTTTTCCCTGTGATGTTAGCATGCACTGCTCTTTGTAAGATCAGAAGCTCTCGAGTTAAATATTTTTGTACTTTTTAAACAAAGAGACATATTTATGTTGACTAATTCCTTTGTAACATTTGTTACTGCAATACAACGAAAAACATGGTTTCTAACCCTCTTACATTGTTAGACAGATGTGGTGTAGTTTCACACACAAATAAAAAATAAACAAAGCCCCACTGCAAATCACATCTGTTAATTTAAATTTACCTTATGAATATATCTTTGACTCTCTCTACAGATATCTTTGCTGACCGTAGTGTAATTCACTTTAAAAAAAAAAAATCTCTCTTACCCAAGGAACAACATTATAGCTTGGCAGTTCACATACTGATATCAGACTGAAATGATGGTTTTGAATCATAAAACATGTCATCAGCTTTATACCAAACCACCAATAACCTTTGTCCCACTTGCCAGCCCTCCCTTTACTTGTCAATATAAGGCTTACCTGATTGTGTTTCCAATTACAGAGAAGGGAGCCCCTGGTCTGCAAGCTGCAATTGCTTCATCTCTACATTTCCTGGCAACCTCCACTAACTTTTGACCAGATTTATCCACATTGCCCACCAAAAAGGTTTCAGAAGTGTCACCATGGTAGCCATTGTAATACACCTAAATATATGCAGAAATGTAAGGACATTTTCTCATTTTGCATCCAGAAACAGATCATCTCCTTAATTAAATCCATTCTTTCTAGGAATGAGCTATATTTTGCAACAGACAGACCACAGGTAAGCTGTATTTGCAAGAATAAGATTGGAAAAGCAAAACATTGCAGAGAGAAAAAACAAAAGCGTGAAAGACTGCAAGGTGCACAGGGGTTGCCAATTGAAAATTCAAGAAATGCAAAAGTTGTGCATCTTTGCCCAGCAGTGCACCAGATGGTGACATTGCTCAGCTACAAGACAGGAGGCTAGCTGGGCTGCATGCAAGAAGATGGGTTGGGGCTGTGCATGGGTTGAAGGGAGCCTTGGAGGCCCTTGGGTGCCCACCTGCCCTGGCTGTCCACCCCTGGGGCCAGGGACCTGCTCGCACCCCACAGGGGTAGGACATCAAGCCCTGGTGCTGGCCGTGGGCACTGGGAGACCCATCGGGGGCTTGCAGGGAGACCCGTACCTCCGCAGCTGGCATCCCCTGGTGAGGGGCTGAAGTGATGCTGTGCGCAGCTGGGTGAGAGATGTACCCTGCTGCCAACACCCAGAGGAAGCCCCATGAAAAGCATGGGCCAAATCTACCATCCGCTGCTGTATGTTTTCTTTAATCTCACTTTTAAACTACAATGGGGCATTAATTTTGGATTTTATTTCTGATTTCCAGAGATGAATTTTGAAAGAGAATAAATATACCATTCTGGCATCACAAGGTTTCGTGTGCTGAAAACATGGCACCCCATTGAATGAATTATGTACCTTTTTTTTTTTTTTTTGACATTTCATAGGTCAAAATTAAAGAGATTCATTAAATCTCAGTTCTCCAGAAACTCTCTGCCAGGCACAGGAAACCCTGGCTCTGCACTACAGAGCTCTGCAACACCCCATTAAAATGGGGTTTGCAGCTCTGCAGTATGGCAGACAGGTACATAACTGTAAGACTAAGCCAAATTTCCCTCCAGAAAGACAAATTATAATGGTGCACGGTTTAGATCTTCTAAAACATTTTTTCCTCCCCCTCGAACAGTGGGTAACTATCCTAGGGCTAATAACTCACCAAGCTCGAAGCACTGAACTTTTGCCACTGGTGAGCTATTTGTGAAAGACAGACTCACATTCTTTCTGGTCCATTCCAAACTAAAAAAAAAAAAAACAAAAAAACAACCAACCAACCAAAAAACAAAACCAAACCTGGCTACAGACATTTTATCCCAAGGCCAGGTTTGTGTTTGGGCCAAGATGTAAATAAAATGCAGGCAGTTAGGAGCAAGGGGTGTTTTAAAAAAAGGTGAGTGCCAGCAAGGGTCCAATCATGTTGCCACCACTCCAGTGGAGAGCGGCTGCAATCCCTGGCTCTACACCTTCTGCCAGTCCAGGCTGCCTTTATAATTTAATGCTCGTTGGGCAGGTTTTAATCTAGCTAGTTCATATTTAAACTGAACTAGTTCATTTTTAGCTCTAGCAAGTACAACACACAAAATCCCAGCATTAAACATCATCATCCTGGAAAAGCAAATACAGATTTAAAACACAGGAGAGTTTAAAAATAATAATAATAATATTTACTGCAGCCCATCAACTGGAATTACATATTTTTGACGTTAATAAGCTATAACCACAGCAACTATAACACACTAATTTCTTAAAAGTCAATGAAAGAACCAAGTTGTAAGAAACGTTAACCTGGTAATGGCAGGCTGAAAATTGCACTATGCTCAGGATTCAGTGATGGATAATGCTTTTGTTTCTACACTAAAATACATTTTAAAGGCTACATGATTCAGACCAATAAAATTTGTATTTCATCTATGAAATTCTACCATCTTAATAATGCAAAATTTTTTTCCAAATAATTTATGCAGTGTATATATATATATTACACTTAATAACTAGAATGTTATTTAATCATTTTATAGAACCTGCACACAATTATAAACAATTTGTTGTGAAATATTTACTTTGATTTTTATTTTGTCCACCTGTGAAACGTCCCAGTTTTGCTTATGAAAGATAAGCTAAAATATAATTAGCAATGCTGCAAAGTAATATTTTTTCCTCAGATATTTTATAACTGAGCAATTATCAAACACAACACAGTTCAGTTTTAAATGACAAAAATATCTTTACAAAGATAATCTGCAATTCCCATCCTCGCAGGAATCTTCACATTCACAGAAACTTCAAGATTTATTTTATGAGGATAAACAGAAAACAAATAAAAATATATCTTGAAAAACACCACTTACATTTAGTCAGATATTGTTTGTAAAGCAGAGTGGACAAAAATATGCACACCACATTAATATAAAAAAGTTCAGTTTAGTTTATCACAGAAAGTATCTGTGATATGAACCTACACTTTTTGTAATCTAAGGAATCATTATTATCCTGACAGCTAAAGCAAACAAACAAACAAAAAACCCTAAAATACAAAGAAACCAGATTGTTAAATCCTTTGCTGTTGCAAACAGATTTAGTCTAGTAAAATGAGCAGAAATCCATCAGTTCACTACAGTAAAAATTTAGGCCAAAAATACACCTTAAAGATGACACGTCACACTGATATCACTTGATAGTCAGAATTCTACATTGGAAAATATGGAGACAGGGAAGAATTTAGTAAAATTGCAAAAAACCCAACAAACCCAGTTCTGGATCACACATGAGTAATACCATGGGAAAAAGGTCACTGACACTAATTTTAATAGAAAAAATATTTTAGGAAGTTTGAACTTCATGCTCAGAAGTAGGTCTGCTGGAGATTTCTTTGCTTCTGCCAGTATGAAATTTGGGCCCATGGAAAACAGTATCAAGTTACCAAGAGTTTCTTTAATGATTAAAAAAGCTTTTTCTTATGAGATGTTACTGCCTTGTGTGTGACATATTATTGCAAAATAATGGTGGGATTCAAAAGACGTCTGTGTGCATATTAGAAATAAACTGCACTTTGGGAAAATAAAAACATGCACAGTAAAAAGAAAAAAAAAAGCTTCTGCAAGAGATGAATAATTTTTTTTCATAAATGAAACACGAATTAGGTTTCCAGTTTCTGTACTTTCTTGCTCCTAAGAAATCCAGCCGGTGTTTATTTAAATAGCTATAATTGACCATTCTCTGGAAATACTAAGTCACGGTTATATCACACTATTTCTGTTTCTCCGCAAAAGGTTCAGGGCTTTTATACCAGAAATGGAACACAACACTACCTTCAGGGATTTTAATAAATGTAGGGAACACTGCTAGCAAAAGAGTTGCTGTCCAAATAGACTGACATACACAGGCCAATGTAGCCTCTAATGACAGAGTAAGATAATGACAGGCCCCACTCAAAATCAGCAGGCAGAGGAAGATCAATCTTGGCAGAGTGAAGGAAAAATGCTGGCTTTCTTCATGTTAGCTCATCTCATACATATCTATCTTCAGCTGCTGCCCAGTACTGTGGTGCTCTGCATTAACTACACAGTGGATCAATAACAATTACACCTTCTCAAAAACATGACACATAGCAGGATTGGGTTGACATTTCACTTAGGCCAACATTGATCTCAGTGCATCTGATTCCAGTCCTAAATTCAAGTCAGGCCTGGGTCTAGCTGGAATAAACACACAGTTAAAAACAAAAAAGGAAACCAGCTGCTTGTGCCTTGGCTCAGAAGTAAACAGCACATCCATCTGTGCATCCCCCATCTCCAATCCACTATTCTTCCTGTTGCTACTAGTGATTCTAAAGTTGATCAAAGACTATTTTTTATATGAATTACTCACTGTGACATCAATGTTGATAATATCTCCATCCTGAAGAGGTCGACTGAAACATAAACAGAAAAAAAAAATAATGGTGACAGACAGTTCCCAACAAAGGAAATATAAGAATAAACACCTAATGACACATACATAAAAAATCAGGGGGTAGATATTTCGTGCTGGAGGAAGGCAGAGGCAAACAGAATAACCATTTTTAATGTTCAGCTCTCACTACTTAGAGAACAAGTGTAGCTGAATATAAAATGAGAAACAACTACCAGAAAAACATATCAACACCTGAAAAAATCTACCATTATATTTATTCTTTTTTCCTCACTAGGGTTCATATTTTACTTTGTGAGTAGCTGAATGTATTGCAAATAAAAAAAAACCACCACCACATAAATTCAAATCTATTTCTTCCTTACCCTATACTTATTTTGCTGGAGGAAAAAAAATAAAAATCAGACTGTACTGATTTTTTCTCCACATGCTAAACTCTAAAGGCATTATGCTATTTTTTAAAAGTATCTGGACAAACAGGATAATTTTTTTTTTCTACTTCACATACATTTCTATAACATCTATCAACATTATATGGTAACATGATATGCATCTGCAATAGGTTTACATATGACATTTAGTTAAGCTGAAGTATGTTCAATATTAAACACAATTTATTAATGCCAGTTTAACATTTTCATCCCTGGTGGTAAAATGTATATTATTGGGGAAATACCTGTCAGGAATACCATGACATACCACGTTGTTTACAGAAGTACAAACAGATTTTGGAAAACCTCCATAGCCCAGAGGTGAAGGATAGGCATTCTGTCTGATTATTTCATGATGAACAATGGAATCTATTTCTTCAGTTGTCATGCCAACCTAAAATATCAAACATAACATCCCGTTAAAAAAGCAAAGATAAGTTTCTCATACTCACCGAATGTGATTGCAGCCAAGCGTTTCAATGAAATCTTGGATGTTTCGAATACATTGTTTTGATACAAAACACTAAACTGTCTGATACACTTTATTGATATACTAGACCTTTATTTTAAAGGGAAAAAGGTTTTGAATAAAGCATGCAGTAGAAACGAGCACTCAAAGGTTCCTAGAAAACCTAAAATACTGCCTACTTCCTTTCCGTTCTTTTTCCCACATTTGCTTTCTCAGAGACACCAATTTTCCATGGCATTTTGTTTCAGTAGCTGCTATAGAAATGTCTGGTTTCAATGCTTTCAGTCCTTCAAAACACAACATTACTTTCCCTTTTTATTAAAAAAAAAAAAAAAAAAAAGGATCTTAATTCTTGTAACTGCCCAGTACATTTATCATAATGTACTTGTGCATTTTATGGAATTGTTTTCCAAGTATTCTTTAATTGTATAAAATAGTTAAATATTTGGCTTTGTATCTTGAGGATATTTTATTTAAAGTTACCATAGCCTGGATGATCACAGTGAATCTACAAGCGCTTACCCATCATTTTTAGAAATCTTCATTTTTATGCTTGGCATTTTCTAGATTCATCTGTTTCTCATGATTTTACATATTAAAAAAACCCTCTCATAAATCATTCAGCCATTTCTGAGTATCCATGGAGTGGAAAACGTACACGCTTAAAATAACATTCTTCTCGCTTTTCTTTTTGGATCGACTCTGTGTCTGGAATGGTTAGAGCTGAAATTTGAAATTTGGTAGGGAAACCTCCCTCATTGAGAAGAAGTGCCTTTGAGGGTTCCTCTGCAAATTGATTTTGATTTGAATGAGTTTTGAGCCTTTGAAAATCATACTTCGTACACATACACTACAGCGGCTGTGATTTTGGAGGACTTTTTAGTAACACGTGGAATATAGGCAGGCTGTGGCGCTGGAGGCATACTTATCCATATATTGAAATATTCAGTGATCATGCACAGTGAATACAGCGGAGTGCACTTGTCTACTATGTTGAGGATAAAATCTATTTGCATCTTGTTCAGCACGAAAACGTGGTTGGGCAGATGAGGAGCGATGAACCCACTCAAGACCAGGGTTTGGGGTTACTGTGCAACCCCCCTGCTTTGCAGTAGTCATTGCAGCCCCGGTGTGCTGTCTGTATTGGATACTGCAGCCATCGGTTCTGGATAAATACAGGTTTGTTGCTACTGCCTTCACTCACCCATCTATCATCTTCAGCCCATAGACAATCTGAACTGCTATGTACCAGATTGGGTGCTGTCTGCTGCTGCTCTGCTCAAGGAATTTGACGTGGCTTTTGGACACTCAGCAGACAGATCTGTGCTTTCTGCGTGGCAGGCTTACACACCAAAAAGTTCTCCTTTTAACACTATCTGCTTTACTTTTTTAAAAGAGTTTTTGCTAGCTGGGCAATGTTGGGGATGCACCTACTGTGCACCTCATCTCTTATTTGGGATGGGGCAATCTGATGGTATCTAACAAAATACTTCCGTGTCACAGAATTTGCTGCTTTATTCCCAAATCTTTAAGCTCAAACCCAGGAAATGCTATCATATATAATACCATATTGTGGTTTTAAGTCCCACAGGCAGTAAATGGTAATATCAAACCCAGGCTCAGCCCAAACTTTGTCCCTCTGCATCCATGCATCATAACGCACCTTTGTTATACTGGGGGTAGTTACTGCTATTAGTGAAAGCACAGGCGAGAGCTGGTTTGGAGGGCTGTGTGCAAGGTGGGTTCAGGAAGACAACAGGAACAGGTGGAGGGATGGGGCTCTTCAGATAAAATACGAATGTAGAGTTTACCTTATGAAAATAGCCTAAAAGAGCTTGGTTTGTTTAGTCTGGCGCACTGAAAGCTGTAATAGCTCTATTACTGTGTGAAGGGGACAGACTCAAGGAAAGGCAGGAAGCTGTTTAAATGAAAGAGCAGTGCTGGCACAAGAACAAATGGATATAAACTGGCCATGTGCAGTGTCAGGCTGGAAAGCAGAAGATGCTCCTTGTTGATGAGGGAGGGTTTTGGAGCATCCTCCCAGTCTTGGCCAAACACTTACAGGTGTAAAAGGGAGCTCACCCCTTGTCTGCGGCTGACCAGGGCAGTGGTCTCAGCACTGCAACTCCAAGTGCCACCTCCTTCCCAGTCCCACAGCTTATGGGCATGCAATTCTTACCTTATTTGCTTTTCTCCAAAATGTTCATTACATATATGTAACATTTTGATATTATGTATGACTTGGCACATACTATGAACTGCATCATAAGCTACACTGTGCTGCGTATACATATATTTTGCATATAACAACCACCAAAGTTTATTAGTGAAAAACTGCTCTCATTCATAACCCAAACTGCACCCTGACCCTTCAGAAACATGTATATGCTCTTAACTTTACACGAGTAAGTTTTACTGTACTGAGAAATAATCGCACGTAAAGAAATTGAACATGCACGAGCATATGTAAGATTAAAGCTTCAGGTAGTTTTGTTATTGGCTACCCCAGCTCCAGAATTAAACCTCTGGGAAAGCGTGATGATAGCTGAAAGAAAAATGCACAGTACACTGATAACTTTTTCCCCTTTTAAGTCAATGGCATTGACCTACAGTCCCCATCTATCTCTGCATCTCATAGCTACTCAACCCATTTTACGCTATCCAGTATGCTATTACATGAAATACCAAGGCAAGGCTAAAGAAGCACTCCTTCATCTGCAAAAACCTGCTAGAAGGTTCCTCCCAGTACATTTTAACTTGGGAGGTATCCCAAAAAGCATACTGTAGAAACATTACTGGAAACCATGAGCCTTTATTGTCAATGCATTCTGGAAAATTGTGTAGAATTTGGCAGCTGTTTTCTCCCCAACAGCAGCTCTACGATTTGTGTCGTGCTGGACCCTGCGGGACAGCGAGGGGCTGAAGGATGGACAGGAATGGAGGAGGCAGCCCAGCCCTTTGGACTTGCACACATGCAGAGCTGGAAAGCAGGATGCATGAGGAATATGGGCCATGAAATGAAAGGGAAAAATGTAGTGTGGGCCTTACGAGAAACTCATATGATTTGGCACAATCTGAACAGAGGGAGATTACAGAGCGACACTACGCCTCAGCCAGCAACTCACTCTAAGTACTACATAAGTCCAAAATACAGAAATAATTAAACAGCCATATCATGGACTGAATCAAAAATTAACAAATCCTTCTTTTTTCAGGATGTAACTTAAAGTTGGATGCACACTAAGGGAAAGTAAAAAAAAAAAAGTAGAAAAAACCCCGCCAAACAAGTGAAAGCATAAAAGACATCCAAGCTGTTATGAGACTTCTGTAATTGTTACCTTTAAGCCCTTTCCAGCCAGAAGCAGGACACGACGGGCCAATTGACAAGCTTGACGAAGTCCTTGAATCTGATCTTCATTCTTAATTTCTATGTCGTCTCCCCAGTCTGGTATAATGCCTGTCGTCACATAGTCTGGCTTCTTTATGTGCTTGGAGAAAAAGGATTGAAAATGAAGATCAGAAAACTGAGCACGACAATGGGATCATTTTCTCAGATACTGCCTCCTGCTTCATGGCAGCTTGCCCTTTCTGTCGTAGTATCGACCTTCCTAAGCCATCAGGGCAAACCCTCAAGGCTGCCTCAGTATTTCTTCCACTGCCCTTTTGAACTTAACATTGCCTGTTACTACTGACTTATACAGTCTGTTAACCTTCCAGTGCTGAAACCCCAGATACCGCAGCCAACTTCCAGCACAGACAGTCGCAAGTTTTTTAAAACTGTGAGAAAGAGACTTAAAAACTCTTTACTTTCTTTTGCAGAGAGGCACATTTTCTGCGAAAGGCATCTAAACACTGGAACTGACAGGACAAACATACAGAATTAGGCTCAAATATAAAACTGATCAAATCCTTAGTTTCTCACTCAGACCAAACTCCTGTTAACTTCCATGAGATTGTTTTTTGACTAAGAACCTTAAGATTTAACTTACTTTAATTTAGAGTTTTTACTTGTTAATCTAGTTCATATGCTGCCCATCTATAATAGGTATCCCAAGGGTATCCCAATTCACTGTGTCAAGGAAAGCGTAACAAACTTTTTTTTTGCACAGAAAGTTTCAGCCATCATATAGAGATGAAATTTCACTTTGATTTTTTTAAATCCACAATTTCTTGACAAGTATATGAACACAACAAATGAATAATAACAGTAACATCTTGCACAGAGGTGGAAATGTGCTTTCTCTTGGAGGGTCACGGGCTGTTTCACTGGCTGGGGAAGATTCCCTTCACTCACCACAGCCAGGCTGACTCTTTGCCATGTTGGCCATGGGGCAAGTTTCGCACTGACTTCACAAAATACAGACTCAAGCTGGCAGGCAAAAAAGTGGGCACTTCGGCTGTACACAAGGCCACACAACATCAGGGTGTAGGAGTAGAGTGATGCAACCAATTAGCTCTAGTGGGACTTTAAAAAGGAAGACTATTGTTACTTCTATGCGTATTTCATTCCTAGTCTGATAAAAAGTGAAACTATCTTTAGTGGATTCAAGTCAACAGAATTTCAGATTTACATTTTGTTCAAATTAATGGCATATCAACCCTAACAACATCCTATTGCAGCAGTTTGGGACTTAATTTAGAAGGAAAAAGAAAAGATAAATTGCTGTATTAGCAAGTCCATACACAGCAGCACCCTTGCTTTCCCCTTGGAGGGCACTTATCTAGTAATTGCTGAGACCTGACTGCTGATCTGCAAGATCTGTTAAGGGAGAAGCCCAATGGAGTGAACATACAAGTCTATATATACAGTTTCACCCCAACATCTGGAAAAAAAACATGTTATTTCAATGCGATTTCTGGCATACTCTGTATAAAGTGATAACTTTGCCCTCGAGTTTTCAGAGTTGAAGAACGTCAACAGTCTAAGAACTCTGATCTCTGAAGACAACTTTTCAGTATGACAATATATTTCTCCCTCTATCCTACAAGAAGCCTCTAAATACAGGAAGAAAAAGTTTATAAGTTCTACAATATTTAAACCTTTGAAAACATACAAAACATGTAACTATGTTCTCCCTGCACACAGAGCTTCCACAGCCTCTGAGGTGTAAGAGCCCTACGTCCAGCATCCTTATCTGCTTTCCTATCTAACAACTCCACAGTTGGACTTGATGATCTTAGAAGTCTTTTCCAACCTTAAAGATTCTATGATTCTAACTTTTTAGTATTTCTGGCCCATGAAAATACTCTATATTTTGCATAAGAAATCTATAATAAAATGAAATATAAAAATAAAAAAAGTACTAATACACATCCTGAAAAGCACTGTTTGGAAAGGGTAGTTTGGTTTTCTTTTGGCTAAAGGAAAGATACTAAATGGTTAATCTGTAAGTTGTAATTAAATGGGGAAAAAAAGAAAAAAAAAAAAGGAAACCAGAAGTGGAACACATGTTAAAATTGCATGAAAAAGTGCCTTTTGGCTCTAAAATATGTTGCAAGAAAAAAAACCACTCAGGCACAGTAAAGACAAGTTTAGAACGTGCAGTGGGGTTGTGGGAGAGCTACCAGCAGGTTTTCTTCCAAAAGCTGACATAACCAATTAACAAAGCCTTCAGCAAAATATAAACGTTTTTATAATTAGCTTGCTAAAGATTTATACAGAAAAGGACTTGGATGATCATGAATGATTCCTACTGACTTCTGGTAGGACCATCTATAATTGTCCAAAATGAGAATCTGGACCCAGAAGTGTTAAGTGTTGGCAGATGTTTATAATATTCCACGTTTATACTACCCTAACTGAACAAGCCCCAGGTTTAAACTCCCTAATAACTAGATACACCACTGTGTTTAACATGGTAGGCAGCTGAAAACTTCTCTCACCAGTGCTCCTATTTCAAATACCAGACCAAGCAACAAGATGGTGACCCAAACCCCCAGCTGTTGGACAACGAATACACTCGATCATGCCTGCAGTCGAACTCTATTGACTGAAGAACAGGTTAGATAATAGAAATTGCAATACCTCAGGAACCGGGTGAGCTGGAGAAACCGTGGCTGGCCAAACTATACTGTAAGCAGTATTTCTTTGTCCCAGAAAAAAGAAGCATCTTCGCTGCTGATTGCTTGACTGCCTGTGCAGGTAGATATGATTGCACGAAGAAAAGATTACATGGCCAGTCATAGAACCTGTTAACAGAAAAGTTAAAAATGGTTAACATTTTTTTCTACTACCACATTACAAAATGGAAAGTATGCAAGAAGAAGGGCATCATGTCAAACAAACCACAGAACTCATGTAGTACCCAAGGGTAGTTCAAATTGTCCAAACTTGTAGCGTTAGAGAAAGAGCATTAACACCAAGAAGCAATACAATAAAAAATCTCCCCAAACAATACTTCAGAGTGTTATAAAATACCAGATCTGTTTTGGTTCGATGCATTAAAAAGTAACGTGGGTAAAGTCCCCCCAAAGTTTACAGACAGGAGTGACGCTCCTACCGGCCCCTGCTCAGAGCAATTTGCACAGCTATGAGCTGCACTGTTCAAGGTTTGGGGAAACAGTGAATAAGGGACAATAGCAAGAAAATAGGAGAGAAAAAAAATTATTTAATGTTGATTTCAGGCAATATTTTCACCTGTTTTTTTTGCAGAATTGGTCATAGATTTGAGCATAACCAAGTTAATGTCGGTCTTATCATTTGTGCCAAGACACAAGGAACGGGCTTAATTTGTCCTGCCTAGCCAGGCAACAGAACAAACCTCAAGGAATATTTTTAATCTTGACCAAAGGCAATTGAAGGGATTAAAATTTGTAACTGACTTGGAATATTCGAATCAGATTTCCATTTAATTCACATGGGAATTCAGGATGACAGCTCATCACAGTATTCATTGCTCAAACTTAGTTGTCGGGCAATGACACATTTTGGCCCCCTCAAAAAGAAAATTAAAAAGGAAAAAAAAAAAAAAAAGGGCTGTGAGGCCCAAAGGTTGTCAGCGATATCAAAACCAAAATAATGCATCACAAAAGACAACGCTAGCATCAAACCTGGGAAATATACTAAATTCAAAAGGATTATTGACACTGCCCAATTAAACCACAATTACACGTAGTGCGTATTTCCATTACTCAAACATTCTACAATCTAAACAGAGGGTTTTTTTGAAACATAAGTTTCACATAATAGTTAATCTGCTTCTGAAAAATGTCATACGTATACAAACACAAGAGCAATCTTTTGTGGCAAGTAACCCATATTATGAATAATTACTCTTTAGTAAAAAGGAAGGTTTCTTTGTTTTAATAGAAGTAACTAAACATTTTTATATCACAGAAATTAAGAAATTAATCTATTGCATATTTTGTAACTATGTAAAAATTATTTTTTTCTTAGAAGAAGCATTTTTTCCAGATCAGTATGTTTTTATTTTATTGTACCTTCCTTCCTTCCTTTATCATTTATGCATTTACCATGTCCAGATGCAGAAATTATCCTTCCACATGCACACTTGGCTTCACAGACAGCCCTTTTACAGCATTGCATGATATACAGGAGATTCAAGTTATGCACCTTTTTTGGAGCTCTGAAACGAATGAAATAGTCGCATGTGGTTTGCTTTAGAAGTGTTCCTGACGGTCTCTTTGCACACTGATCAGTGCTACGTTTAGTTACCGATATCTGAGAGGTTATAGAGACTTTTACTCAATGCAAGAAAATTTTTACTGTTTTTTTTTAAATTGTTGGTAAGTAACAAGGTAGACTTGGAGAGTGAGGCTCAGATCAAGTTCTCAGTATAACCTAGGAAGCCCCATGGAAGTTGTCTGCTTCAAAAGGGAAGAGAGTGTTTACATGGAAGCGGAGCTGCCCAGTTAACAGACGACTGGATTGGTTTGGTGGTGAATTGAATCAACGACCTCATAATCTACTGCTTTCCTACAGTCTCCTTCACAAGAAAAAAATCATTGTCCAATTAAAAAAAAAAAAAAAGTAAAATCCAAGCCATCTAACTTGCACAACGTATTAATTGCATCCAAAGAGCCCAGGGCATCCTACAAACTCCCTGGCTGGTTTGTACCCGTTTCTGGAAGCCGGAAGCACAGAATCTGCTGAGGCAGCAACTTTTGGTTGTTTTGTAACTAGCAATCAGTCCGCCAGCGTAAGCTAAGGTAGCTCTTTTATAGACTGCAGTGGAAGTACCTTGCTTTTATCACAGCTGAAGGTGTTCTAAATATATTGAAAACCCACGCTCACTGATGTGGTCAGCTACAGTCCATGCGGACATCAATATGTGAACGTGTATTTCAAATGCTCGCATGCTGCTCGGGCACCTTATTTACTCCATAAAAGTTTAATTGGGGAAGAAATGGTGCAAGTGTGTTTGTCAATTACTCAACAATAACAGTCCCAAATGTTCCAAATACACACTCTTAAATACATTAAACCAGTTTCTATTCACGGGTGCATGCCTATCAACTATCCCACATTCAGAAAGGATACCTTTTTATTTGGAATGAAATTTTTACCTCTATTCTCCCAAAGATACACTGTAAGTGTTGTCACAAGATAACAGGATAATAAGGTACTGTAGTTTGATTTTATTCTACTAACTACTCATTATAAACCAGACACACATAAAAATATCTACTACTTGAACAGGTGAAATGCGACAACCAAATAAATATCACCATAGTATAATACAGCTCCTAAAATACATCACAAGAATTATAAACACAGGACAACTAAACCTTTATTTGAAATATAAAAAATTACATCAGAAAATATTCTCCTACAAAGCAAAAATAAAATGAAATAAAGTGGCATTAAAATGTAATGAAGTTACTGTTTGATAATGAAAATCTGGACTCCATCCACACACTTCCTTCCTTAAGAAGGCCTTCCTAATGTCTCCGCAGCTCCTTTTATTTTTTGAGCTCCCATATTCACAGCTAATTTGATATAGCAACATCATCAATCACCGGAGACAGGAACAACTGGCTGTATTCTCCAAGTCTGGCTCAGATATTCCCTCCTCCCCACCCCTTACACCTATCAAGGCTTTTCTCAGTGCCTTATTTACTTCTGCAACGCTGGCGCTCAAGCACATCCTTTCTGTTAAGCTTTCGGTGTATATTAATTACTGCAAGATAGCTCATAAATGTGGGATTTTTGCAGCTTCCAGTGGAAGCTGCAGCCGTCGGAAGGAGCCCAGAGTTCGAAGCTGGGTAGCCTTATAACACACCAGCACAGCGAGGATGCAAAGTTGACCCTTTACGTGTTTCTTCTCTCCCCCAACAGTAAGGCTACATCACTTGCCACAAATAACAGAATATTTACTATCATCAGCTGCAATAAGGAGAATTAATACCACTGTTACTGAATCACATCAGCAGATACGATGTACCAAGCACAGAAAATTAGACACAACTGCTCCTCTAACTCGACAGTGAATCACACTGTGTGCACACTGTATGCATGCATGTCCTGCCGGAGCCGCTGGATTCCTCAGCATACCTTAATTTGTATTAATAATATAAATATGCACTGAGAGCTTTTGCGAATTACCAGATGAATTTATCTTGTGTGGAAATTACCTTTTCTTTTTCTTTTAAACGAGTCAGCCAAAGGGGCTGAATACAGAATTTGAGTATCATGATGGGTGGGAGCATTTTAAGTGACTGATTTTGCAGCACAATGTGCCCTATATTTATTAGCCTTTTACTCTAGGTCTATTTTAATTGTTATCTGTTCATGCATGCTACACTATCTAATGAAATGCTCCCATTTCACTCAGAGTAGAGAGTTTTTTATGTGTATCTCTATTAATGACCTTTAATTAAGTTGATTTTAGTAATTTAAATGTGATTTTCCTCTGGTCAGGAAGTATTTTTAAAGGGATATGTTAGAAATGAACTCTCACATAAGCCTTTTTCTAATGCTTCTTGTTTAACAGTTACAGCAATTTATCAGCTATGCTTTCAATGAACGAGGTGTGGGGTAGCCATGCAAAAAACTGTATAATTCATCAAATGTGACTGTTAGCAACCATTTTTTGGTATTTATTTATGAAAGATTTCAAATTCCCAATCAATTAGCAAAAATGTTACCAAAGGATAAACTTCACGACAGTTCTAAGTTCTAAATACACGGGTACATCTTAAAAGAGCCAAAAATAAATTTAACATATTTTAGAGTAATTTAGTCATAGTATCAACGGAAGCACAGTACCAAAATTATTTAGGATTACAAGAATTAACATCCAACTGATTTAGGAAATAAAATCAACTTGCTCTTGATAAAGTAAATCTTACTTCATATATATGAACAATTAACAACATCAAAAGCATTGTTCAGATAACTCATTTTTAAATATGTGATTCTATATATATTTTTTAAACTTAAAGAAAGAATGATTGTGGAGATTTTCCTAGTATATATGCGTTTGAGGGTAAAACACTAGAAATTTTTAATTTGGCTTCTCAGGTCATTTTAATATTATATCATATTTTTGCTTCTTGGGCAAATATTAATTTTGCTGAAACTTCAGAGGAATAAAGTTTAAAGTGAGGTACTAAAAATCAGTATGAGTAATAATATGTGAAATCCAACCAATGCAACTAGGTAAGAATATATAGCTTTTTACTGTTAATTACCAAATGTTCCAAATTTTCAATCGAATATAATGGCTGTACTTTGAAAGATCTTTACTTGTCATTGTAATTTTAACCGTCTTAATATAACACTGATTTTGTAATCCCCGTGTTGCAAAGGTATGTCCAGGCTTCAAAAATAGGATGGGAAAGATTAAAGGTTCTCTCCAACTCTGTGTAACCTGTGTAGCAGAAGAGCAGCTCACATTTCACAAGCAATAACCTGTGCACTTGCTAAGAAAAAAAGGGAAAAGAAAAGAAAAAAAAAAGAACAACATAGGGAAATGCCTGAGGCAGAAGTTGAAACTGATTGGGCAAAGTAGAAGGACAAGAGCCCTTGAAATTAAACAAAAGCAAATTCATTCTGTTGACAGATGTTGATTACATCAAAGCCACAAAATAACTTTTTTCTGTTTCTTTTTTTTCCTTTTTTGCAACTAATACCTCCACATTTTCTGTACATTAAGGATATAACATATCTTAATCAACATAATCCAAGACATAATAATTTTTAAATTTGGTAAAAGTATATTGTAACGAGGTCTTAAGGACAGGCTTCTCCAAACAAGAGTGTATTCACATGGTCATGTCTGCATACCCGTGCTGGCACGCCATCATCAGCCCCTTACTTCCAGGGGTTAACTGCTCTGGCAGCCAAATAAAATACAGAGAGCACTGTGTAATTATGGAGACAGTCAAAGGGCAGACTCTATTTTGAAATCTATTTGCACAGACAAGGTCTTCCAATTTCGCTTACAGGAAACAAGCTGGTAAAGGGGGTCTCCTCCTCTCCAGATGCTTTCCACACTTTTTTCCCACATCAGGAAATCGTGGACATGGACACCAGGCAGCACTGTTTCCTGGATTGCAGGACTATGTCATTACAAGAAGAGCAAGTCCATGCTCGTGAGAAATACTTCCTCCTAATTGCCCATATTAGGGGAAAGCAAAACCCACAAGGACTACTGAAAATGTGACTAGTAGCAATTTGTAAACAGGACGCAGCCACAGCTGTCATGATGGTACTGGAAAAGAGAAAACAGAAATGAAAGGGTAAAAACACTCTGGTTTTAATAGCATGATTGGGGAAATGAAATATTCATCAGGATAGATGTGACTTCAGTTACAACAGCAACACGTTGGTGAAAACCTCGACAACTGCACGCTTATGACTGTACCCTGATAAACTGAAACATAGACCAGTATCTTGCAAACATTATATTCTAATTGGCATTGTTTTATTTAATTATTGAAATTAACTGGAAATTAATGACAAAAGTTGTTTAGTTAATAAAGGCATTAACAGAATTGCTGTTCTTGATACTCTCGTAAGAGCCAACAAAGCAAGGCAATGGCCAAACGCCGACCAACTCCAAGGGAGCAGAGTCAGCCCTTCTGCTGACAGTTCTGGGACTCCTCAATGACACTGAAAAGTCAAGTTTGGCCCCCAGGGCCGGTTATGCTCCCTGCTAATTAAAATTTTGCCCTTACTTCACGGAGAGTGGAACCAGGGAATTTGTTTGCTGTATGCTAATACAAATTACTTTTTTAATTGGGTGCAAATTTATAAACTATATAGAATCATATTCTTGTTTGGATTTACTTATTATGACTTAGTCTAGACCAGCACACTAAAATGATGAATCAGTGCCTTCTGGAATAGTGCCGTTCTCCTAATTCACTATTCAGTCAAACTTAGAGCCAACAAAATAGCTGTTCTACAAGTTGGTAAACTGGGAAACCACAGAGAATCAGAACCTCTTCTATTTACAGGAAGGATGACAGCCTAAGGGTACTTCATCCCAATAATAACAACATTCAAGTAATGGTGCCCAGGTCATGACAAGCCATGACCCTCCCCATAGCTCCTTCAGGAAGCTGGCTCGGTGCCACCTTTTATCAGCAGCAACCAAAAGTGCAACTTTAACAAACAAGAAGAAAAGAAAAAAATAATTTTATATCCTTAAAAACCCCTTTGACCAACTGAGCAGTTGTATACGTATATACACAGAGTCACACCAAGCCAGTATAAGGAATAAATTCACTGACTCAGTAAAATTCTGGCATTATTAAACAGCACTTCCTCATTTTACTATAGGGTATTAAATAATATAGAGTACCATCTAAGTATAACTGAATGACATTCATTCATATACCAAAGGAAATTAATTGTCTATTACAGAAAATGGGACTGGGCTGTACAGGCTTAACTTTGGGAAGAGAGCATTATAGCTCTCCAATAGAGCCTTCCATCCCAGTGTTATTTCTACTACATTTTCTCTCTCTGATAGAATAACACAAGTAGAAAATAAAAAGAAAGTGTTGCCTAAAGCAGTATCACAGCAAAATGAAAGAAGTCAGGTACAAAAGCTGGACAAAGCAATATGAAGAGTTTCACACACAGTTAATATCAGGGGAATTTAGGCTCCAGATCACAGCATCTGGCAAGTTTCAACTTCTGTGACTAGCAGGAGAAACATTCCTCTTATGTTACTGCATTCCTGTATTGAGTAAATTAATTTATCATAAAGTGAATAAATTAGAATGAGAAACATATCCACTCAGGTTTGCATATTTAAATACATCTTTCAATCACTTTCTATCTATCTTTAGGTTTTTTTAAAAGATCAAGGAAATTACTTCTGCTTGAAAGATTGGTTATTGTATTCATTATTTTGATTTTGTAGGGAAGCAACAACTGTTGGAACAAGTTACTTAGTTTAAAAAATAGCAGTTGTTTCAGACTAAAATAATAAGCTACTCAAATAATCCTTACACACACACACACAATACCTAATTTTGTTGTTAATACGCACCCACCCACAGCTTTAACATTCATTGAATCCTACTGGGATAAAATCTTTTCAGGTGGTCTGTATAACAACCATTTTTCAACTGGCATGTTTATGTCCTATGTGTACGTCTGATACAGCGTTAAATATTAAAAATAAATCCTACTTTAAACTGTTAAATTTCCACCTGAAAAGGAAAAAACATGTCTGAATCACCACAAAAAACGTTTCCCACAGAAACCCTTTCAGTGGGTGAGCAACGCTGCTGAAATAAAAGTAATCTTTGCGTAGAAAATTTAGGAGTACTCCTGAGTGTTGTATCAGGATTTTCTGCATAGCTTGAGACATGGGAAGAGAATGGGCAGTCATGAGTCTTTTCCCTGCACAAAATATAAGACTCATTGCAATAATTATTTTCAATGCACCTGCAGCTGAATCTCTAAGGATACAAAATGATTCCTGAATCGTAAGCCAGTCTTATCTCAAAATTTTAGAAAAAGTGTACACTGCTAGTGATTTTGGGACGAATACCTTAATAAAATAAGATTACATTACTACTAATTTGGTAAAAATGACAGCCAGCAGTGTTTCTTGCCTTGTATTAAATGTTGTTAATCACTTGTATTGTCCTGTTCGCACATGAAAACAAGTTATATTAGGACAGCAAGTCTTTACTGAAAAAACACGTATGTTTCTGTCGCCAGAGCGAAGAGTGTAAGGTTGGGGAATTATATCCTGTAACCCGGACTTCAAGCAGAGAAGTGTAAGAGTTTACAGCTGTTTCTACTAAACTGTTGCGGTGGTGGTGCAAACAAGCTCTTACTCTTTTTTTCAAGAAGATGTTCGGCACAGAGAAGATGTTCCAATCAAGAGCTCGCTGCAGATAACTTGTAGCATCCTTATTAAAAATTTATTTTTAAACCTGTCAGTCATTAGTATGTACTATTAATGCATAACTTGGAAGCTTATTCATAAATATGCGACATTTGGGTCACTGAATGAATTATAATGATAGGATTATGGATCAAATTTGGAAGAGTACAGCATAATGTTTGGGAGCTGTTTTCTTTTTTTTTTTTTTTTTAAATACCTTTCACTTAACTCCTTGCTTAACATTTACAAAGACCTCTTTCTTATCATAAAAGTCCCTGTTTGATAAACAGTGATACAGGAAGAAGTTGTTTACCTTTTCAGAAGTACCAACATACATCACTTATGACAAAAAACCCCAAGCACTCCATAAGAAATGCTCAATCACTGTCAATCATATGCACTAAAATATACATAAACCAAAGCATGTGGTGTGAACTATATTAGATTCAAACTGAACACAGAATTACAACTATAACAAACAAAAAACAAATAATTACAAGTGACTCATAGGCCTATTTACACATCTCACCAAACTGCTGGAAAGGCAGGTAACCATAGAAACCTGACAGCCTAAATTCAGTACTTTAAAATTTGTATTTAGTTTAAAATGCTGAAAATGATGTTTCTATTTGACAAAAATCCATATTTTAAAAGGCTTCAGTTTTTGCTTTGGTACTTACATAAATGCTTAAAATTATTTCATCTCTCTGTTACTAATAATTTGCCTTTTAGATGTGGTTTTATCCAAGTAAAGATTACAGTTTATTCTTTGTAATATAAAATGTCAATACATTGTAATACTGCAAATTAATATTTCTAACATTTCTTTAATGATCGAAGTTAAATAATGATATAAAACAAAGACTACTGCATTACTATTAAATGTTTTGCATATAGACTTTTCTAAGCTGCACACTAGCAAAAACAACAACAAAAAAAGATTACTCAAATTAACTGTTAAAGCTGAAATGCTAATAGCCTTTTCAACTTATAGTTCTTTTTCACTGACAATTACAATTTGCATGGCTTAAAATTTAATACTATGATTAGTACTAATGTCCTATATTTTACTTCATAATCTAAATGAGTAAAATATTATTTTTGTAGTTCATGGCTCTTATACTTAAGCTGTAATGTTCAGTGTGTATTTCATTATGCAGATGAGCAATGGCTGTCGTCTAACATGATTTAAATGGGTCAACAGTATTTTCCTATTCACATTAATCACCCTGACAGCGACCAAAAGAGGGAAAAAAAAAAAAAAAAAAAGCGCCTTGAAAACTAACCTAGGAAACCTCTTTTTATCACTGACTCTTCCTGCTAGTCAAACAACAGCAAACACAGGCGACAGGAGACGGGAGCCTTGCAAACCAGGGAGCCAAGGCTGGGCGCTGCTCCTCTTGCCGGTGCACAGCTCTCGATACAGCCAGTGCCGGCAGCGGGCAGCACCCCTGGGCTGCCCGCGGCCCCGTGCCAAGAATGATTCTCGTCCCGCCAAGTTCAATGGGAGCTTGTGTGTTGACAAACTGAGCAAATTTGAATCGGCAAAATTCGTTCTTGGCACGGGGACACGCAACTGCACTGAATGCAAAGGCGTGCTGCCCGCTGACGCTGCGCTGGCAGCTGGACTGTTCTTGCGTAAATACACTTGTCGGAAAACTCCCACTAAAGTCAAAGGACACAGGATCAGGCCATTTATTGCCAATTGTTTATAAAACACATTAAAATTAAGGGCTCTATTCTCAAGCCATGTAACCATCATCTATGGCCCATTTCATATACAGCAGATTGGAAATAAAATGGTAATTTATAAACAACATAGTGCTTCTGCAGAAAGGGGAGCTGCTCTAATAAATGCAAAAGGTAAAGAAAGTAAGTACAAAACAGGCAGAAAGTAACAGGAGGAGCAGCTGCCAAACATTCAGACTAATTTATTCAATTAATACAAAATCAGGATTATAAAAAAGAACTGATCAAAATTCCCTCAAACACAAAGTACTGACATGGCACAAAATCTCTAAAGGCAGAGATGACACGTTTGATTATATTACGGCGTAACAGAGCCAGCAGAGCTTGCCTGGGAAACCCTGCCCTGTCCATACCACAGGCCAGATCCTGCTGGACAACACACGGGACGTCCGAGCTTCTCGGAGACG